ACATCGCACTCAACGACATACGGCTTTCAGTACATGTTGCTATCTCGTCCTATCGCGTGCAGACGCCTCCGGGAGGTACCACTTTCCCCCCAAGTGACACCAACTGTCCCCAGATGCCCCCTGCTGGCTTCCCAAAGAGCCCCATAATGGCTCCAAGACGGCTCTGGACAGCTCCACGGCCCCCCCCGACACCCAATACTCCCCCCAAACACGGCCTGAAGATCGCTGAAATACGCGACGAAGACCCCAGACAGGATACCAAGATTGCCCCGCGAGGCCCAGATGAAGCTCCAAGAAAGAACCATGGGGATACAACGTGACCCTACGCGATCCCACGAAGGCCACAAAACAAGACCAGGACATGGCCTGCGAGGGCGGGGAAGGGGCCAGGGATGGGGGGAGGCAGCGAGTTTGCGAACGCACCTTTGGGGCCCTCAGATCCTCCAAGTCCTCTCTCGGGCGCCTCCAAAATGCCCAGTATGCCCTCCAAGACGGCTCCAGAGGGGCACCACGACGAGGCCCCAACAAACACTCAGGCCCCAAGAGACCCCAATAACACAGAACGAGGCCAGAGAGCACAAATCATATCCAAAACAGCTATGCTTTCAATTCGTCTTGCTATTTCGCCTTATCGCTTCCAGACGCATCCGGGGAGTTCCAGGAGGAAAACGCCCTGACACCCCAAGACGCATTGACAGTGAAACCAAATGACCCCAGATGTTCCTGGCGAACCTCCACACCAGCCCCTATATAGCTACAAGGCAGGACAGCTCCAGGACGGCACCAAAGACTCTCCCAAACGGTCCGGAAACTTTCAAAATCGACGTGGAGATCCCCGAAGGCATGCCAAGACTGCCCCAAGAGGGTTCCCGAAAAGCTCCAAGAGAGCTCCCCGTGGGCTCCAACACGACCCTACGCGACCCGACGAGGGTCACAAAACAAGCCCAAATGTTCGGACACACGCACACGCACAGTTCTAAGTCGGCGGCGCAGAGGGTCCTCAAGCGCGGGCAGCAGATGGAAGTGCTGGCTGCGATCGAGTGTCGAAGGCACAATGTACGAGACGTCGCGCACTGCGCGCGCTGTAGAGTGCAAGCGGTGAGTGGTGTGCTAGGGGGGCTGTAATCCCACGCGTGCATAAGCAGCGGCCAGAAACCGAGGAGGAGACTCAACTCATAGTGAACTGAAGCGCAAGCAGGCTGGGCACACGCCTACACACACACACACACGCACGCACGCACACACGCACACACACACACACACACGCACACACACACACACACACACACACACACACACACACACACACACACACACACACGCGATCAGGCCAACCAGCACCCACTGCTTGCGGTCTGTGCGCGCTGGCTCCCCGCCAGGCGGCTCGCCGTCACTCCCACTGTGCGGGCTCACTGACTGCTGCTGCATCCGGCCAGTGACATTACTTAAAGTGACCACGAGACTACGACCTCTAATACTCTTTTTACAAAGAGTATCCTGCTGCTCGTTATCCTCAAGTGCCTTCTAACCTCTAAACCCGTCGCCTCCACATCAGCCTGCTGCTCCTTGAGGCCATCAAGAAAAAGCCCAGGCATCGCAGCAGACTCAACAATGACATGCGACACACGGCCCAGCAACAAGACAATTGTCGCAACAATTCCCTGACATCCTGCCCGTTCTCCTCCTCCCCCGTGCCTCCATGCCCCTTCTGGGCGTCCCATCGCTCTTCGTCGTGCTCCTGCGAATTACCCTGCTCGGGCAACCCGTGTTGTCCAGACTACAATGGCCCCATCTACCTCCTTTAGGGGGCTGGCGGAAGGACGTAAGCTTGTCGAATAGAATGTTGCCAAATTCATGTAACTGACATTATAGAAGCCAATGTCGTATGTGCCCGTCATGACCCGAAACCGACTCCCACGCTCGAAATACTCCTTGGTCCGATTCAGCGACAACTTCATTAGATGCGTCTGATGTCCCCAATCGGTGTCATTTAACTCAGGCTGGAAATTTAAATCGTAATGTGCAAAGATTGGCGGCAAGAGCACGGTGCGGTTCAGAATGGCTCCCAGCATAAGAGCCCGGCGGGTTGCTATCAATTGGTTCGAGCTTCCGCCGTGAAGTGGGAAAAATAAATAGCGCGGTGATCGGACTGATACGCTCTGGATAAACGCGGGGGTCGTGGTGGTCGTGGTGGACGTGGATGCCGTTGTCAATTTCGGAGTAGCCGCGTCCACGGCGTTCACCGTACATGTCTGCGCCAATGGTGTCAAATTTGGAATCGATTCGCCGTATCGTCCCGTCTCCATTTTGTACAGAGTGCCTTTCAGACGTGCTACCCTTTTCGACCCATCAACACTCGAATCATCCGTGCAGGAAGGCTTACACATCCCCAGCCGTCGCCAAATGATGTCACTGGAGAAAGAATTGCTGACGTGCGGTGGGCACTTCTTCTTGCAGGTGTAGCAGTCCCCTGCCGTAGGCCAGAAGCCCTGCTCGGCCAAGACACAGACCTGCTTATCAATCGCAGCCATCAGATCCCCCCTGTTTGGAAGCTGGGCGAGGGCTGGCAAATCCGTGGCTGCTAAAATGGTATTCCCGGAAGGAAAACAACATTCACGCAAACAAACTCAACGCACTAAATAATAAACGGGGTTGCTTCACGGAAGGAAAAAACAACTTCCCGGAACTCCGATTTAGCAGCCACGGGTTTGCCAGCCTTCGCCCGGCTTCTGACCTGTCCATGCCAGTCAAGGAAGCAAGATCTATGTTTTCTGGAAGGCCGTCACATAGGCCCGCTTTGCACATCAGATCACCCATGCCCAGGGATATACAGAGGTACCGTGAGCGTAGCTGTGCAAATCCATCGTGCTGACATCCTGCACGCAAGTTTGTTGCTACGTAAACGACTGACTTCTCTGGTATTCTCGCGGCCTTCAGTTCCCTCAGAAGCCACAGAGCGTACGACTCCACCACTGAGGCTTCTGTTCCCAAACCAGAGACGTTCTTGGGCCTTACCTGGTTCCCACCGTGGCCGTCCATGTCATCTGGCATTCGCAAGTGAGCTGCACAATACAAGCCGCGATAATGTCCGACGGCACCCGACACACGCCTCGCAGCGTCCAGTACGGGACCGGTGAACGGGATCGACGTGAGCTGCACGCGAAGCAGCACCTCCTGGAGCGAGGGCGGGCCTTTCGAAACGTCGAGCTTGTCGAGGCCGTGCATGCAGTACGTGCACCCGACTGCAAGAAGAGGAGCTTCGCCCAGTGGGCCGGTGCCCAGCGCGCCCAACACGTCGGAGATGGTCCGCCAGCGGCTCGCTGCAGCAGGGCACACGCCAGATCCGACCACCTGCAAGAAGCCCGCCCCCGCCCTGCCGCAGCCGCCGTAGAGGGAGAGCCTCCCTTCGCAGATGCTGCTATCCGCCGACCCCCTCTCGTTGGGGTGGAAAAGACTGCGAGATGTATGGCTGTCCCTCTCCGCCTGGCCCCTCCTCCCCTAGAGCCCACCCAGCACGCCGTGAGAGGGCGGGGAGGGGGGCCCAGAAGGGTTGGGGCGACGAGCTCGTGGAGGCACCGTTCGTAACCCCGCGGCGCCTCAAAGGTGCGTCTCAAGGAGAACACAATCATCTCTCCCCAAACTGAATTCAACGCGGAGTTAGCTCTCGCGCGAGCCGTCCGCATCACGAGCCGAGTGAAGCTGATCCGTAATCTCAATCGAGAGGGGTGTAAGCCGATGCTGCACTATGCAGCGCTGTACGGCCCACGCCGAAGCAGCGACCCAAGAGCACTGTCGCAACGCATCTCCTACAGAGACGCCAGCTGCTTGCGACGTCACGCCAATGTCAACCTCTTGAGGGGGGAGGCCGCAGACACGAGACCACGGCCGATGTATAAAACTGTTGCGAGCGCATCCCCATATGGTCTGGCATACATTTATATATACACACACGGTGGTCACATAATAACAAAGAAGGAACCGCAGCACAGTATGTAGCAAATTGTAGGATCATGCACCCGAATTCCCAGCGCACCACAGCAGGGAAACCAGAAGCTGGTGGGAGAGAAGGAGACATAAGAGAACACTGATGATTATATATTGGACGAACACACACTCGCCAATCACTCATGTTGAAACTGGAGGCGGGCACAGCGGCGCCCGGCAAACGAGACGCTGCTCCTCAATGGCTGAAATGGCGAGCCCCGACGGCTAAACCAGTCCAGGGCCTGCCAGAAGCGGCTGTAAGCACCACTGCGCAATGCCCGTGCAAACAATTGCACACATATTCGGAGAGGGAGGAGGGAAGACAAGAGGGGGATCACTTTGCAGCACCACGAATGCTTCGATCAATAAATCGACTGCTCGGTACCCAGCGCCGCGAAATCGATATATCGCTGAGTCGGTGCGCCCTGGCCGTAGTGAGGAGGACAGAAAGCGGCTCAGAAACTTAAATGACCAGTGCCGCGGAGGCGAAGCCAAGGAGGGAGGATGAAGAGGAGGAGGAGGAGGAGCGGGGAACGGGTAAGGCGCCAGTGGAGGCCGCGAGCCGAACTGCCAGCTGTTCCGCCCTGGGTCAGATTACACAGGTTCGACTCCAGGAGCGCCAGTGCAAACTAAAGTGCCCACGGTTCTTGCCCTGCTTGCCAACCCGGGCCTGGAGCTCTGACCACGCTCGCGGGACACAGGCGCGCGGCTGCCGCGAAGGTGCAACTGCGCATAACATCCGGCGCTGCGCTACACAGCACGGGACCAGAAGCCGTGAGCAGGCAGCGCGATTGCCAAAGTAGAGAAGCGGTGAAACGGTGAAATGGCGCGCTGGCCACTCCATCAAAGGATGGCGCGATGCAGTTTCCCGAACTGCACATGCCACCGAAAATGTGCCACATCTCCGGACTCGGGCAGAGATGGGGAAATAGACAGTACCAAGCTGAGCGCCACCTTTCCAGAACAAGGCCCTGCTCAGCGGCGGCACAGCTGATGAACACCACCTTTCCAGACCAGGCCCTGCGCAGGGGCAGCAACACTGACCACCACCATTCCAGAACAAAGCCCTGCATAGGGGCAGTAGCATAGCGGTCATCATCACGGGCAAGAAACTGACCACCACAGTTCCAGAACCAGCCCATGAGTCCTCAAGAAGGATTCAAAAATAACTCAAGAGACCATAGCCGACAGAGGGAGCCCAACCACTGCACTAAACGACATAAAGCTTGCAATGAGCATTGCTATCTCGCCTTGCCGGGAGGTCCCAATCTGCACCCAAAAGGACACCAGATGTCGCCAGATACCCCCGCCTGGCTTGCCAGAAAGCACCAACATATCGCCAAAATGGCCCAGGACAACTCCAAGATGGCACCAATACCTAATGAACCTGGCCCAAAGATCCTTTTAAGATGGCGCGAAGACCCCCGAATGGATGCCAAGATTGTCCCAAGAGACCCCAAGAGAGGACAAAGACAGCCCCATGGGATACACAAGAAGACCCTACACGACCCCGCGAGGGCCTCAAGACCATCCCAGGGGTGACCGCCCTAATGCTGGGTCACACACGTGCGCAGACCTTCCAACATGGACTGATTAGGAGAGTACTCCCCCCCTGTGGGCCCACCGTCATTTCCAATGTGCGGGCTCACGCAGTGCTGCCTGCAGAGGTTGTCAATGCTAAAATGAGCTTGCAACCATGGCCAGTCGAGGCTCATACTCTCACCTCCCCTAACCACCATTACAGCTCCTACGGCGCGTCTCCTCCTCCTCGTTTCAAAAACTTTGAGGAGTTTCGCTGACTCTCATGGTCACCGTACCAGAACAAGTGCTTTGAAACGGTTCAGGACTGTGAGGGCGCACCAGTGACGTCCATCCGCGGTGTTGAAGTCCCAGGAGAAGGTGTTCTGGCACGAGTCAGGATGGCCAAGACGCTACAGGCAGCTTGACTCGTGGCGTTGAAATCCTGAGAACGGTGTTTTGACACGCTTCAGGAGTTCCGCACGGTTGTCCCCCAACTGGGCACCTCCCCAGGTGGAGTTGAACCCTTGTAGGGGCCTCTGAAGAGGAGCTTGGAGGGAGCGCGTCTTCCAAAACAGTTGATTCGTCTTGGATTTACACTAGTCCTCCTCCTCCCCCACCACCTCCTTATCTTACCTATGCCTCCTTGGTCTCTACGTTGTCCACATCACTCTGCTGATGAACCCAGATGTTGCAGCATATCTAACAGCAGGCAGAAGAGGGCCGAACATCGAGGAGCATGTCACCACACCTCGCCGTCGTCTTGCCGTTTACCCCTCACCCGTGCCTCCGTGCCCTTCCTTTCGACCACATCGCTTTTAGTCGCCCTCCTGCGTTCAATCTTACTCTGACAACACGTGCTGCTGCACACATTACATCTGCCGCATCTACATATTTGTTTCGGGGGGGCGCGGAATGGCGTGAGCGCGTTGAATAAAATGTTGCAAAGTTCATGATGCTGATATTGTAAAAGCCAACGTCGTATGCACCCGTCATTATTCGATACTGACTCCCACGCTTGAAATACTCCTTCGACCGATTCAGCGACAACATCATTAGATTTGTCTGATTGGTCCAATCAGTATCGTTTAGAACTGGATTGAGGTCGTAATGTGCCAACATTGGCGGTAAAAGCACTGTGCGGTTCAGAATGGCGCCCAACATGAGAGCCCGTCGGGTTGCTAGCAATTGGTTGGAGCTCCCACCGTGCAAGGGGAAGAACAAATAGCGCGCTGGTCTGGGTGAAGTGCTCTGGATGGACGCGGGGGGGGCGGTCCATTTTGAGACAGCCGAGCCCCTCGTTTCCCCCTCGGCGGTGGTCACCCTCTTACCGGGCCAGGCGGTCGAGGCTCTGGTCGCCCCCATCTCCATGATGTCCTCATCGGCTGCTGCGCTGGTGACCACCCCCCAGGCCTGAGCTGGACCGACTGGCAGAAACGAATCGGTTCGGCAACGCTCCACATCGCGCCTGGGTCGTGGCGGATTCGGAGCCGAATCGGATCCCGTTGCATCGCCGATCGGGCTCGGTCCCTGCAGGCCAGGAAAAAAACAGACTCGGACTGCGCCAGGCTGGATCGAGTCGAGATCGGAATCGAGGTCCGGGGACGGAATCGGATCGTGAGCAGCCCTGCCTCGTCTGGCTCGACGTCGGTGGTGGTCGCCTGCTCAGCTGGTGTCGCAGCAAATGCGGCTGTCGTCTGGACATCCGCGTCCCTCCAGGTACGAATCAGCCCTGTCGCAGCAGATGCCTCAATCGTTTCCACCTCGGTGGTAGTCACCTCCTTCTGGGGGGACGTAAGGGTCGAGTAGGCGAGACTCGAGCTTTCGCGACGGGGCCGCTGAAAACATGACGGGATCTGGTCTGAAATTTGATGCGGGGCCTACCGCCGCAAACATCTCACGAACACTGTCGGGGATCTTCTGACCCGGGTCAATCCAGACCCGGGTCAGCAGGAAACCAAAAACTGCAATGCAGGAAAAACAAAAACTGCAACGCGGATCTTCGCAAACCCGGGTCAGCCAATAGGCGCAGCCGCCTCGCGGCCACGAGCGGCTCGCTAACCCGGGTCAGCCAGAGGGGGTCTTCGCAGGATCCTGCAGGATCCGGCGCCCTGGCTGACCCCCGTTTGCATTGACCCCCGTCTCAAGGCTCACGAGCACTGGACCGTCGAAGCCCACCCGGGGACCGCCAAGAAAGAGCGGCGGCAGGACCCGAGAGCCGGCAGGCTCGAGCCTTCCATTCCCCCGCGGGTCCCGAGGGCAGCGAGAGGCAGGGACTGGAACAGGGGGGGACACATCGACCGGGGAGACGTAAGACCCGGGTACGGGGGACTCGGAAATCCCCGACGAGGTCGTCAAAAAAATGACGAGGCCGAGCCTGCATTTTGACGAGGCCTCCCGCTGCAGACATCCCACGAAACTCCTCCTCGTCAAAATCCGAGTCGCGGTCGTCAAAAAACGATCGCGAACCCGAGTCCCGGCAAACCCGGGTCTTACGCTCCCCCGAATCGACCTGGAATCGGCAATACATCGCCGACAGAGCGGTGATAGGCCCCCGAAGGTGAACCCGCATGTTCCTGGGCAGGTCGGGGTTGTCGGGCCCCTGTCGGCGATCAGTGGGCGACTGGGCGTCGGTGCGTCGCCCCCTGGGCTTAGGTCGGGCATGTCCTCCCACAGGCGGACTTTGGAACAAAACAATGAAACATAGCCCACGCAAAAATTACAAAACGAGTGACACATATTCGAAACCTCGTCCCCAGACTATGTTCCAACTCTTTCTCTGAACGTCCCTCCTGTAGGGGGACACGTCCGCCTTGGCCCTGTGCCTGAGGGGGGGGTGCAAATCATGACCGGCGGCATGTGCGCGGCCCAGCAGGGGGGGCCAGGAACGTAATGAAATAAGAAGAGGCGCCATGAAATCTGGGGAAATATCATGGCCCACGCCATGATATCCACCCCCCCTAGTCATCACCCTCCGCTTTTCCGCCCCCGACCCTGCCATTGCCCCCTGCGATCCTTGCCGGGCCGAGCAGTCCCAGACCCCCGACGTAATGATTTTTTCGTTACGTCGACCCCCAGAGGTCCCGACCCTTTCCCTATGACCGGCTTTGCATCCTGAGTCGTGTTTTGACGCTCCCGAGGCCCGGTGAGGGCCCCCGGAGGCCGAAAATTAGGAAAAACCTCCCGTCGTGATTTTTTCATTGCCCGAGGGGGTCTGGGGTGGCAGCTTCGGCCGCGCCCTCCCCCGCGCGGCCCGCCCGGGCGGCCCTCCCGGCGGCCTCTTCGTGCGCCGCCGCCTCGGCCGGCGCCGCCGCGGAGGCCAGGGACGCGGCCCCGCGGGCGGCGTCGGCGCTGCACGGGGCGCTCCCCCACGGGCCCCCCGCGCAGCCCTGGGCACCTGTGCGAGGCGGGGGACGCCGACGCCGACGCCGACGCCGACGCCGACGCCGACGCCGACGCCGACTCCGACGCCGACGCCGACGCCGACGCCGACGCCGACGCCGACGCCGACGCCGACGACGACGCCGACGCCGACGCCGACGCCGACGCCGACGCCGACGACGCCCAGACATGATCGCTGTCGTAAGAAGTGACTACCTCCCAAACCACCCCAACCCAACCCGAAGACCCGAATTTCGGGTGGGGGGGGGGGGGTACGGGCTTCATGCGTGTCTTCTCGACGTTCCCCGACCCCCCCCCAACTGGAAATGGAGGGCAAAGTCGGGCCTTCGGGTTGGGTTGGGGTGGTTTGGTGGGTGGTGAAGAAGAAGCTCAGGACGGCAGTTTTGGGGCCATTTTCGGCCCCGCGGAGGCCCTGGCCGGGCCTCGGGACCGTCCAACAAAACAAGTCAGGGCGAACAAAAACCGGTCCCGGGGAAAAGGTCGGGACTTCCAGGGACGCCGTCCTGGAAAGATCAAGAAGTCGTATGTCTGGGGGGGCGGGGGTCTATCCATATCCACCGCCTGGGAGCCGACGTCCTGGGGAGCCAGCGGCTGGTGGATATGTGGATGTTCTGGCCCCTGGGGCCCGAAAACATCCACGTCCACCGCCTGTGTGTGTGGGGGTCCGCGACGCAGGCGGTGCGTGCGACTGCGACTGCGACGGCGACCCGCCTTGTGCACCCTGTAGGTGCTGCGGGCTCGGGCCGAAGCGTCCAAAAATATTCGAGAAATCGCACAACACATGTCCTCAAGATTGCTCCACACGTCCCGGGCGGCACCCTGCATCAACGCAAAAAGCTGAATCTCTGCCCTCGCACTCATCAGAAACTGATGCTCTTTCTTCCCCGCCTCGGAACCTGCCCGCACGGCGTGGGCTCCGAGTGCTGCCGCCGCGCCGCAGATCAGGAGCGCGGCCGCAAGGCCCGCGGCACTCCTCCGCGCCCTGCGCGGGTGCGGGCCAGGGTGCACCGCCTGGAGCAGCGGCTGCTCCTCTTGGAGCCGCGTCGAGGGAGACCCGTTGTCGTCGTTCGTCGTCGCCGTCGCCGTCGTCTTCGTCGTCGTCGTCGTCGTCGTCGTCGTCGTCGTCGTCGTCATCGTCGTCTTCGTCGTCGTCATCGTCGTCGCAATCGTGGTCGTAGTCGTAATCGTAGGCGTCGTCGTCGGCGGCGTCAGCGGCGTCGGCGTCGGCGTCGTCGGCGGCGGCGGCGTCGGCGTCGGCGTCGGCGTCGGCGTCGGCGTCGGCGTCGGCGTCGGCGTCGGCGTCGGCGTCGGCGTCGGCGTCGTCGTCGTCGTCGTCGTCGTCGTCGTCGTCGTCGTCGTCGTCGTCGTCGTTGTCGTCGTCGTCCCCCTTCAGGGTCGGCGGCGCCGACAGTAAGGCCTTCGCGACACAGCCGCCTCCGTCTCCAATCGATGGGACAGGTGAGGGGAGGGGGGGGAACGTCGACCTGGACTCGGCGATACATCTGTCGATCGGCGATGGGCCCCCGATTGCAGAACTGGACGTTCCTTGGTGGGGCGGTCTATCGTCCGTCGGGGACGATGCATTCCCCCCTGGGCCTATCAACCCGAACGTTGCCCCGCAGCGGGCCTTTTCAGAACGCGACGGGACTTCTCAGAAGCCCCTTCCGCCTTCTGAGAAGCCGCCCCTGTCTTCGGAGAACTCGCCATCGCTCGGACGTCCATTCCCCTTGCATGTTTCGGCTTGTGCGCGTACTTTTCCGCGAATGGACCCACCAGGCGCCTCGAGGGTCCTCGCAGAAACAAAAAACTCATGTCCGAGCGATGCCAAGAGAAAGCCCAGCGACCTTCTCAGAAGGCCAGGTGCCTTCCGAGCCTCCCGCGGAGGTGATCTTAGGTCGGGCATGTCCCCCTACAAACGGATTATGAACGAAAAAATACAATGAATATGCAAACATAGAAAATACCAGAAATATCGTCCCCAGACTACTTGTTGACTATTTCTGAATCTCCCCACTGTAGAGGGACATGCCCGACGTAAGGTAATCCCCCCACCAGTGCGCGCCGCCAGCTCTCCTGGCTCAGCAGCTCAAGGTCGAGTGAGGGTGCCGACGCATGGCTCGCCATGGCGCCGCTGGGTCCAAACTGCCAGGGCCTACAAACATGGACAAGGATACAGGCGGCGAGGAGGACAGGACGAGGTCGAGGAGGACGAGTGGGAAGAGGAGAGACAGGAAAGATGCAGGAGAAGAGAACCGGGGAGGAGGGGAGAAGGGCGCATCCCTGCGAACTCGGACCCATCACCCAGGCACGGAGGCGCGATGGGCCGCCCTCTGGGCGCAGGTGGTCTAAGGATATCTTTCTTTCCTCTTCCGAAGACCCCTCTTCCCCTTCGGGGAAAGGGTTTACCACTTTTCCCTATTGATATACACCCCCTGCCCCAGGGCGACTGGGAGCCAACCCAGGTCCATGAGGGCCCCCCCACTATCCCTTGTAAAAAGCAATACAAAACACACTCTGGCCCCACCATCCTTTGTAAAACACAATACACAACACATTATGCCCCCAAATTCGGAACGTGCGCAGCGAACCCGATGCGGCCTCCCCCACCATCCTTGTCAAAAAACAATACAGAATACACTTAGCGGCGGCGGCGGCGGCTGCGGCGGTGGCGGCGGCGGGGGCGGCGGCGGGGGCGGCGGCGTCGGCGGCGGCGGCGGGGGCGGCGGCGGCGGCGGCGGCAACGGTGGCGGCAGCGACTGCGGCGGCAGCGGCTGCGGCGGCGGCGATTTGGCAGCGGGGGCGGCGGCGGCGGCGGCGGCGGTGGTGGCAGCGGACAGCGGCGGCGGCGGCGCGGCAGTGGCGGCGGCGGGCGGCGGCGGCGGCGGCGGCGGCGGATTCGCCCCCAGTAGCTGCCCATGTAAAGACGACTGCTGCATATGCTGCAGCTCGAATCAGGCTCGGGTGCTACGTATGTGTTGGGAGGGCGGGTGGGACTGAACGAGACGGCATGCGGGCGGGGAGGGCGTCTTGACTCTTCCTCTATACCCCCTCCCCTGGACCTGGACGGAAGGAGTCGCGATCGGCTGGAGGGTCCTTTTTTGGCCCCTGGGAGGGCCAATTTTTGGACACTCCCTTCGGGGCTTCAAGAGAACCCCAAGAGGGCTCTGAGAGGGTCCCAAAAGGACCTAAAAAGGTACCCGGAAAAAGGCTCCCCAAAGGCCCCCAAACGGCCTCAGAGAGCCCAAGACGACCTCCAAGATGGCCCAGATAGCCCAAGCTGTCTCACGATGGCTCCCAAGATGCTCCAAACGGCCCCAAGACCGCTCCAAGAACGCCCGGAAGCGCTTCAAGAGAGCCCCAAGACGCGGTTTGCCGGCTCCTGAAGGGGGAGATGAGTTGGGGGGCCCCCCATCCTGAAATCGATGGCCTCCCAGATGATCCCAAGAAACCTTCCAGGGTTACCTAGAGGGTTCCATGAGGGCCCCCCAAACTCCAAGAGAGCACCAACAACAGCAGCAGCAGCAGCAACCACAAAACAACCTCTAGATGGTTCCATGAGTCCTCGCCCGCGTCGTCCTCATCCTAATCCTCGTCCTCCTCGTCCTCCTCCTCCTCCTCATTTTTCCCTCGCCCCCGCGCGGCACCCAGGGATGGGCCGAAGAGGCCTTCTAAGGCCACCCCCATTGCTCGTTTTGTTTCCCTAGATGTGTTTCTTCGCCCTTTTTCGCGTCAGCTCTGAAGGGCAGGGTTTCTGAATGGGCTGGTGGGGATGTTTTTGGTCGCGAGCGCAAGCGGAAGGGCCGCGCGCCGTCCAAAGCTACAGCTGACAAACAGGAGCCTAAAGCTGGTGGGGATATTTTCCCGTCGCAGCCGCAAGTTGAAGCGCAGGCGGCGTCCGAAGTCAGCCAGGGCTACGAGCAAAACCTAATTACCTAACCGCGCGAACTAATGGCCGCCGAAACTGCCGCCGAGGGACGCCGAGGAGCGACGCAGGGGACTGAATGCAGAGCTGCAAGAGGTGCCAGGTGTGCCAGGCGGCTGAAGTGCAACCATTCCAGGGGCGAGACCACCGGGAAGGCAAACGAATTGTACCTCGTCGCGCCAGGCGCCAAAGGTAAACGAGCCACCCGAGCAAAGTACGGCATAGCGTGGGGCTGAGCAAGCAGCCCAGCGCACCTGTGCCGCATGCCAACAGTGGCAACCTCAGGTGGTTGAGCAAGAAAGATAAATCACCCATGAGCAATCCACGTGGAGGTGCATCCCACCACTGCAAGGGGGCAGCTGCAAACACGGCCAAGCTGCGGCAGTGTCTGAAAACCAGGGGCCAGGAACATGCGAGCATGCTAGCTGGAGCTGGCTGGTGGGGATACTTTTTTTGGTCGCGGCCGCGAGACAAGGGTCAGGCGGCAAAGGCAACGTCCGGGCCACGGGCGAGGCTAATTGGCAAGGACAGGCGCGCTGGCCGGCCCCCTCAGACGGCAGCTGCAGGCTGGGTGACGCTGAACTCGCTGGCGCACTGCAAGCTCGGGCACGTGCACTGGACAAAATGACCAGAATTCAACTGTGCTGGTGGGGATACGCGAAGCGTGAAGAATTACATTGCTGGTGATAAGAATCGGTCGTGGGCGCTCTTGCCTCGACGTCGGCCGCATTTCTACGTAAGCGACTCCCGCTCGAGCGCGGGCTTGGTGTCCGATCTGGCTCGTTGAAGGCCCAACTGCGCCGGCAACGGCTCCCGCTCGATACTTCCACACGGTGTACGCCAATACGCCCTGACCAGAGAGGCATCCGAGCTCAGGCACGGCACTCTCGCTCCACACTTCCTCGCAATTGAAGAAATCATTCGTGGAGGCCCAATTTCGACGACACCGGCTCCCGCTCGATACGAAGGATTGCACAAAAAAAAACAAAAAAAAAAAAAAAACAAAAAAAACAAAAAAAAAAAAAAAAAAAAAATTTTTTTTGGGGGGGCTCGCCCTGGCCAGTGAGGCCCCCCAAAACTCCGGAACGGCGCTCTCGCCCGAGACGCCCTCGCAAGCCATGCAGGCTGGTGGAGGCCCTGCTGCGACGACAGTGGTTCCCGCGCTGTACTGCCTCGCAACTTGCTGCGAAACGTCTTGGTCATACGCATGTCATGTTCGCACTCAGGAATGAAGCTCTCGCTGGAGATCTCTTCGGAATTCACTCAAGTTGGTGAACGCCCACTTGCAACGACAGCGGCGCAAGCTCGAAACTTCCTCGGAGCCTGTTCTCAGACGCGCTGGAGGCACCCAAACTCAGGAACAGTGCTCTTTCAGGTGACGTTCTCGTAATTCACATATGTTGGTGAATTGCTCGCAGGCGCGTTAGCTCGTATGACGGCCATGGCGGCGCGGTGCGCGCGCAAGAGTGCACGGTTAAACGCTTCTCCCAAGCAGTTGCGGGGAGGCTGGATTCATGTGGAACGTGTGGAACAATGTGGGGGTCGCGCGGAGATTGGAAACAGGCATATGGATGGACTCATGTGAGCGACGATGAAAAACGGGGCTCTCGCGAGATGACACAACGACCTTGCGCGATGGCTTACGCGGGCTGCCGGCACTGCACGCCACATTGGAGACGAGGGCGCTTACGCGCGACCTTCGGCGGGCTGCTTACGCGCCAATGTCGGCGCAGACGACCCCGTTTTTGTTGCGTCGCTCATGTGGGGCCCGCGCGGAAACTCGAAACAGGCATATGGCTGGACGCGTCTGGAACCTGTGGAGGCCGCGCGGAGGGCCGGCATATACCCTGCCATGGAAGGGCCGAGCGTTGGAAACACGTGCGGCCAGGAAGAGGCCCAAGGCGCACCATCCTCCTCCTCCTCCTCCTCCTCCTCCTCCTCCTCCTCCTCCTCCTCCTCCCCCTTCTCCTCCTCCTCCTGCTGCCGGCGGAGCTGTGCGCTTGGATCGCCCGGCTGTTCCAAGCGGTGGAAGCGGCGGGCGGCTGGCCGCGGGAGCTGGTGGAGGCCCCGGGGGCTGCTGCCTGCCAAGGCGGGGCGCCGGCGGAGGCCCGCTCGAGCGCTGGCCAACTCTGCTCGCGAGCCCACCGCAGTCCGGACGGGCCGCGCGGCGGGCGGTGTGCAGGGGCAGCTCCCGCGCGGCCGCGGGAATCGTCTTCGGCACGCGGTCGTCAGGCTGGCGGCTGGGCCCCTCGCCGTGGCCGTCCCCGCGCCGCCGTGGCAGGCGCTGAGGGCTCTCCGCCGCCAGCGGTTCCCCGATGCCCGGTGGCGCGCGGCGGCCGGATCGATGAACTGCCAGGCGCGGCCGCGGGGCGGGCCCGAGGGCTGCCACGGCCCACAGCACGGCGGAGCTCCAGCTCGGGGACGGCGCCGAGGTCTGTCGGGGCCGCTGCAGGACACCCGCCCGTCCTGCTCCGAGGCCTGGGCGCGCCTGGAGGCCCGCGTCCTGGCGGCCCGCCGCGCAGATTTGGGCACGCGCAGGCGGGCGTCGACGGGTGGGCCGCTCGGCGGCTGCTGGAGGAGGCGCCCTGGCACCGGACGCCGCTGGCGCCTTGCGCGCGGTGTTGGCCAGCAACGTGGACACGGATTCGGTGGCCGCGAAGTGGGGCAAGCCGGAACGGTGCCCACACTGCGGTGCCACGTGCGAAGACCGGCAGCACTGGCTCTGGGACTGCAGGGCCGACCAGAAGCGCGCGGCGCCCGTGGCCGTAGGCTTCTCGGCCGGTGCCGTGCAGTTCCGCTTGCCGCCAGGGTCGCGAGTACCGGCGTGCTTCCGTTCGACGCCCGCCTGGGCGCGCTCGTTGCTGCCGCCAGCGCCAACGCCCCGCGCTGCCCCCACCGCTCTCGCCCGCGGAAGGCACGCCGCGGTGCCTGCGAACACCCGACCGACCCGCTGCTGGCTCCCGCAGGGTTGGGCTTCCGCTTGAAAGATGCCGCGGTTGCTCAGACCGACCGCAGCGACGCGGTCGACGGGGCGCAGACTGCGCAGCGCGCCAAACTCACGGCCGCGGTGCAGGCGCTCCACGAGGCCCAGCAGCCGGTCGAGGTAGTCTCAGGTTCGCAGTGCGTCGAGAACGGCGTCTCGGTGCTCCAGCAGGGCACTTCCCCTCGGGAATGGTCGCGGTCTGACTTGTGGGACCTCATCGCGCTCCACTGCCGCTGCCGGCTCCTGACGGCGAGGTGGATCGAAGGCGGACGAGGACGGCGCGGCCGCGCGCGGGGTGTCCACCGAAGACCGGCTGGGCAATGCCGCCGCGGACCAGATGGCAGGGGCGGCGGCCTCAGCGCGGCCGCCGCCGCCAGACCTCCTGCTGGCTCCCCAGACCCCCGACGTAATGATTTGTTCATTACGTCGACCCCCAGAGGTCTGGACCCTTTCCCCATGACCGGCTTTGCATCCTGAGTCGTTTTTTGACGCTCCCGAGGCCCGGCGAGGGCCCCCGGAGGCCGAAAATAACCAAAAACCTCCCGTCATGATTTTTTCATTACCCGAGGGGGTCTGGGTCGCGGGGCCACGCTGCACGCCCTCTGGACGCTGCAGGTGATGCTGGCCGAGGTCGAGCTGGCGGCGCTCGAGGCCACCCACGGCAGCGCCGCGCAGGCGCCGCCGAGCGCGCGACGCCGCGGGGCCCCGCCGGGGCCGCGGCGCCGCGGGCCCTGCGCGGGCCACCGCGCCCGGGCCCCGCCGCGGTGGCCCGCGCGCTCGCCGCCGGCGGCGCCGGGCGAGCGCACGCGCCAATTCGCAGGGGCCGGGGATTGGCAGCCTGCATGCGATGCGGGCATGCGGTGCGGCTGAAGGATTGCAAAAAAAAAAACGAAGGATTGCAAAAAAAAAACGAAGGATTGCAACAAAAACTGAGGATTGCAAAAAAAAACCGAAGGATTGCAAAAAAAAAAACAACCTTGAACGAAGGATTGCAAAAAAAGCCCGCCTGGGAGCCCCTGGCCCGCCGCCCGCCGCGCAGGGTGGGCGCTGGCGCTGCCGCCGCCGGCAGCGTGTCTGCCCCTGCTCCCACCGGCGCGCGCGGGCGGCGCGGCTGCGGCGTGGCGAGGCGCCCTCCAGGCTCGCTGGGGGGCCCGCTGGGGGTCGCCAGACGAATGAATGGCACGCAGCTGCAGCTGGGCTGCGAGCGCGCGCGTGGATCTCCCCCTCCCTGCTCCCCCGCCTCCCCCGCATGCTTCTCTGCCAGAGGGCGTCGGCGGATGGTAAGCATAAGTATGCCGCACAAGCCTCGCTCAATTCTCCAGATTCCTGACTGCGAGCGCGCCGCACGGGGCCGGTGCAAACCGCCAGGACGAGTGACTGGAGACACAGGCGAGCTTCCAGATAGCGGGGGGGGGCACCACGCACAAGTGGGACAGGTCTCGGCTGACCCTTCCTCGTCCTGGGCCACCCCATGCGTCCGCGAGCAAAGGGGGCCGTAGTCTTCACTTTTCCGGCTCTCGAGCGGTAGCCTAGGCCGCGGAGCGTCTGCGACAGTCCCCCCGAGAACCGACTGGCGCTCGCCGAGGGAGGGGGCCCTCCGTGCTGAGAGGGCCCTGTCCCGCGGGCACAGAGGCAGCCGCCCTCCTACACGCAGCAGTAACAGAGAGGAGAAGGGAAGATGGAGCAGTACGGTAGGAGGCTTGGAAATGAACACCAACGTCAGCACATGGAGTTGCCTCCACCGAGGGACGATGATCCTACATTTCGGTGTTGGTGGTCATACTTCGGCCGCCTAGGAAGCCCGAATGTCACCACCATCGCCGAGATCGGGATCTTCTTCCCTCGGTGGAGGCACACCGCCGATAGTGGTGTTGGTGTCAACCTCTAGACCTCCGATACAGACTGGCGGCAAGCGCGGGGGGGGCGGGGAAGTGAGGAGGGGCGGGCCTTCTCAGAAGGCTCGAGAGACCCCCAGCCTTCCGAAAGTTTTCTGCGCCTTCCCCAAAGACACAGAAGATTGCTCAGAAGGCGCGAGGGCTTCTGAGAAGTTCCGCCGCCCTCTGAGAAGGGCTTCTCCTCCTCACGTCCCCCCCTCGCTCGCCGCCGAACGGTGAAAGCGTATATCAAGTACGCGTGGTAAGGGCGCAAGACCCCAGGAGGCCGAAATTGGTACTCTTATCTGGGGCGTCGGGCGACCCAAGCCCCAAGGAAAAGAGCAAGTCGAGCATGGACCGACCGTACCGGCATTCCTATAGGCCTACCGCGACATGTTCTTATAACCCCGAAATGTTCGACAAAAACAAAACAATGTTCTTACACCCTGCGAAATGCTTAAGAAATCATGGGTTAAGAAATTCATAGTCTCAGAACTTGAGTAGAAGCCCAGAATTTCCATCGAAATCTTAGGATTTACATGGAAACATTAAGAATAATCGAGACTCTGGCCGAAAACTTGGGTTTTCTTAACCATCGCCTAAGGTGTATACCATAAAGCCGATGTGCCAAAACGAGACAGCCCCAGCCAGAAACGTTCTAAGAACATTTCGTGCAAACCATGATCAGTTCTTAGAAACTTCTTTGGCGAGCCTATAGCCTATAGCTTATAGGCAAGCCAAGACGCCTCGCCACTGCTTGAGCAAAGGACGGGCCGCAGAGGCAAGGACACAACGGTACCCTTGAAAAGGCGCGCGTCCGTACTATGCGCGTTGGCTGAAAGTTGGCAGCGCCCGCACGGGGGGGGGGGGGCGTCGCAAAGGAGGGGAGCCTTCTCAGAACGCCGAGGGGCGTCTCAGAAGGAGGCCCCAGAGGCTGCTAAGAAGGCTCCGTAACATGCCAAACAAACTTCTCAGAAGCCCCCCTGCCTTCTCAGAAGCCTCTGGGGCCTTCTGGGAATGCAGGGGCCCTCCCAGAGGGCCCCAGAGGCTGCCAAGAAGGCCCCGTCAAACGCCAAGAACGAACTTCTCAGAAGCCCCCCCCGCCATTCTTAGAGGCCCGCCCCCCTCGCACCGCCCTCCGAGGGGCAGCCGATGGCAGGCCGAGGGCAGACTCGGATCGTGCTGCACCGCAGGCCTCGGAGAGCCGCTGGGCCTGGAGGACGCCTCGGGCACCGCGGCCGGCCCGGAGCGCGCCGACACGCTCCGAGAGCACTCTTGATGGGCCTGTTTCCCACCACCACCACCACCATAAGTTGGAGGGGGAGGGGGTCCTCCTCCTCCTCCTCCTCCTCCTCCTCCTCCTCCTCCTCTTCCTCTTGCTCCTCCTCATCCTCCACGTCCTTCCCCCCTCCAACTTATGGTGGTGGTGGTGGAAAACAGGCCCATCAACTCTGGAGCGATCTGGAGCGACCCGCTCCGGAGCCGGGACCCGCCGGCAACGAGCCGGAGAACTGCCTCGAGTCGAGCTGTGCGTCGGGCCGGCCCGCATCGGCTCGGAATCGAACGTGCCAGCCTGGAGCACATCCCTGTCCCTATGCTGGGCACCTCCTCCTCACGATGCCAATCTTAGGGATTCCCTTATTTCTTGAAGGCGGATCCCTAAGACTGTCATCGCCTTTTGGCGTGTCAATCTTAGGGATAGGGATACGTTCGAGGCTGGTAACGAACCCGAGCCCGATGGGAAGCGCCGAGGTGCACAGCAACGCCCATGCAAGCCTCGTATCGCATCGGGTCATCGGAAGATCGGGATGGCATCGGATCGAGCCGACTTGAATCGATATCGAATCGTGTCGGTCGGATCGAAATGGAGTCAAGGAGGTGGGGAGACAATCCGCGGGCCGTGTCGATGAGGGATCCACAGGAAGCCCACGAAGGCGACAAACGAGGAACGGCCATCCTAATGTTTCCTCTTGTGAAGGGGGGGGAGGAGGAGAAGGAGGAGGAGGAGGAGGAGGAGGAGGAGGAGGAGGAGGACTATCAGATCATACTACCCACCAAAAGCACCAACGCCCATGGATGACGACCAAACGGACTCAACACCGACACCCGCAGAGGACCGCACCTCTGACACGCTCCGCGCCTGCGACATCGGCGACCCGCTACGGAATCCGCACCTGGACATCATCCACACCCAGCAGCAGCAGCACGACGAGGAGCACCAAGGAACACGTCATCACAGACGCACCGCACGGCCCAAAAGCGACGCGCAACCGCCCACTCGAAAACACAACACCGCTTCAAAAATACCTCCGACTCCGAAGCCAAACTTCCCGACACTCTGACCCGGGCACGCACCATACCAGGGATACATTGGAAGTGCACAGCAGACACAACATGTCCACGACCTCACATTACTCCTGGTGCGACAATGACCACCAGGACTACGACTCACGAAGGGCTTCCTGTCCTTATCGCACCGGTTTCCCCCCCCACACACACTGCTTGCACTCTTGCGATCACCTCGCCCTGTTCTCTACACTGGTGTTTATCAGCTTCCTCTTCAACCGAAGGACGCATGCACTCTTCTCGATTTGCTCGCTTGCCACTGCACCGTCTCCCTCTCGTGTACGTGATCCCACGGGGGGTGGGGGAGTAGCCCGCGCTTTAACACGTTTCGCCGCACAGGTCTCTGTGAAGGAGCCCTCCCCGTACCACCAGCTGTGGTCAAGTATTTGTAAATCTCGCTACTCCCTCAATCATTTTAGTCAACCTACTGGCCAGCTTGCACCGTCTGTGCTAGCCCTGTCCATAGCTGACCTGCTGCCAGAAACAAGCTTGCACAGTTACTCTCCCATTTTGAACCCAGTCGCCAGTCCATTTACTTCCCAATGGGGGTCGGGAGGACTTACTGGAGGGGTCGGCATTTGATCCACAGGCATACTTTCAATTTGCCGCCCACCTGTTACCATAGGAGCCTCACAAGCACACTACCCATCGGCCGGAAGAAGTAGGTAGAAACATGTAGGAAGGCGGATAAAGTAGATTGGGTTCGGGCCCGCCCAGAGAGTAACAACACGCAGCAAAAACATATCGATGCTTGACATAGTAAGGCGCTTGAAGTAGACTGGGTTCTGGGAATCCAAAAGTACATGCTGTCAACGACCGATGGTTATAGTTTAAGGCAGAAGCATGCGGTCTGCACGCGTTGTCGTCGTCGTCGTCGGCGTCGTCGTCGTCGCCATACGGGGTCGGCGGCACCAGCCGTAAGGCCTTCGCAGTACGTGCTGTCAACAAACGATGGGTATAGTTCAAAGCAGAGGCATGCGGTTTGCACGCGCCCACAGCAGACCCAAAGGCTCTGGGCCGGGGTGCTTCGCCCGTGGCAGTCCACCGTGTCCATACCGTGCTCGAGGTTGCTCGGCCCTTGAGGGCCCCTCATGGCGGAGATCTCGTGCACAGAGCCGGCGCAGAGCGTGAACCAACTCATGGGCACAGAGACCCAAGCAGAAAAATGTGCACGTAGGTGTCGTCGCCTGCCTGCAGGGTGCGGCCGAGGCCGCCGGTGCGCCCGAGGGCGCCTGGGGCCTCCGTGCCGGCGTCCGCGGACGCCCGGGGCGGCCAGGCCAGCAGCGACCAAGAAAAACCAACCAATACGCATGAATATGATCGAACAGCCGACGTAATGTTGAAAGTTGTCACAATGATAATAACAGAAATTACAATTGATCAAACAGATACTGAAAGTCCTTCAGCGCTGCGTTTCCTGTCACACGCAGTTCTGTGAAGAGTGTACTGTTGCTGCTTCTCAAAACTGACCTGGCAGGAGACACATTTGAATGGCCAGGTGGCTGTGCGAGGGTCGTCCGGGCGCTGCTTTGCCCGAGATCGCACACCCTTCGCCCAGACCTCCCATGGAGCCTGCGCGCAAGAGTACCGATGATTGGCAGACTTGAAGCGCCCATGACAGAAAGGGCACTGCGGAAGCGCCCGCTCGTCGCCCTCCGCCTTCCGACGCTGCTGCAGGACCGCCATGCGTACCCGGCCCTTCTTGAGATGATCCTTGCGGGTCGCAGCTGCAGCAGTGTACGCCGAAGGCCGAGGCTGCTTCCCTCGAAGGCGGCGTCTGCACAAATCTTCCCGCGCTCGCAGAGTCAGTCGAGTTCTGCGCTGCTGGCCTCCAGTCGTGGCGGGAGCCTGGGGCCGCAATGCCAGTGAAGCCAAAACGGCACCGGAGGAGGACGGGGGGGGAGGAGGAGGAGCCAAAACGGCAACGGACGCAGTACCAGAGCCAGGGCACGGAGCAGCAGCCACTGCGGCTGGAGCAGCAGAGCGTGGCGTAGATGTGGTGGACAGCGGTTGTTTGCCCTGGAGCCTGCGCGGCGGCATCGGCACCAGCGCCTCCGCCGCAGGCGCCGCCGCGAGCTGGAACGGAAGACAGACTTTGATGTGATGATAGTATCCAGCTACACTGACCCAGCGTAAGCAACCCCGACAGCGTCTGCGATAGTAGACTGTCTAACCGGCGGCCACTGCAGTACAGGCGGCGCGGTGTCGTTGGCCGAGGCGCCCCTCGAAGACCTGGCCACAGCCAGAACATAGCCGCAGCTTGGGGTCGAGCTCATCTGGACCGTGGACAGGGATGTCGGACTCGCCGCCGACGTCGCGAGGTGCAGCGTGCTTCTCCGCCCACGAGCCCCGGAGGGCCTCCTTTCGCATCTCCTCACAGACAATGTTACACAATTCACGCCAACGACCGCCCTTGTCCGGTTGGGCGGTGGTGCCGGCCATTGCGACTGCGTGCCAGGCCTGGTAAAGGT